GTTGGATCAAACAAGAAGCAAGAAGAGGCCACTGGGAAAAGGTATCCTTGCTCTCAGGCTGCCTTGTTCTGCTCATCAGAGATGGCAGAGCAAAACTCACTGCTAGGCTGGACATCATGAGATTTGCTCAAGACATTTACTATCCCACACATGAATGTGGAAAATGGGTTGTCTAAACTTCAAGTTCCACCATGTTAACTGTGCCATAACAGCTAGAACAGCAAATTTGACTTGGCTGCTCCACCAAGTGGTTATGTCGGTCCCAGCTGGGGAACCCTTCAGGTATAAGGCACCTTGACATCCTCTACCAGTAAAATCAAATCTACTGTGGGGCTACTACGGGCATAAGCAGGCAGAGTTTGTGGTCAGGAGAAAATCTGTCCATAACCAGAAGAGTCACCAAATGACAGTTTCCTAGCAGAGCCTGGAGGGCAGAGTTTCAGCCAACCTCTAGCGCTGTCTCAGATGTGTCAGTTTAAGCCCTGCTGTCATTCAATTAATCTCCAGCACGCCTTCAGTAAAGAGAGAAGCTCTCCACTCCAGATAACCGGGATAAACATTAATTAACCCATAAGTCTTGCTGACTTCACAGTTCCTTTCCTTTCCGTGCTCTGCTCTCATGACACCATGAGATGTTTTTCCTTATTTTGACAGGGCTAAGAATTTCTCTTTGTGCTTGTTGGTTGGGTCTTTTTTTCAGATTTTAGGGTGCTTTTAAAAAGAATTTGATGAACACCTGTGATTTCATCTGGAAGTTGTTTTTATCCTCGCGCTGTGAAGACCTAACTTCCAGATCACCCTCCCGTCCATATGTCTATCAGATGTGTTCATGTTGTGCTGGGTTGGGCAGGGTGGGGGTGTTTTAATTATGAACTATGAGCTTCTCTGACCTTTAGCAATGACTGCTGCAGGTGAGTTGTAAAGCTGCTCAGATAAAACTCAGATGCTGTGCTACAGCTATGACCCCTGTTCCCCAGAGCCTTCTGCTGTGCTCTGTCCAGAGAGCCACCAGATGCCACCACTCCCCAGGGAAGGCTCCTTTGCCCCCAGGGAGCCTTACCAGCAGAGTCAAATATTATGGAAACTCTAAATAGTTGCCTTTATTTGTTACTCGTCACTTGCCCTAAAAGCTGTGTTGGTATCACTGTAAGAGATAGATTATCGAATAAAGATCCCGTGATTATTTCTTTGAATTCTTTCGCCCTCAGGACAGAACAAACTGAGATGATTGTGTGAGGAAAGGGTTACTTTAGCTTGAACAAACCTCCCCAGATCTGGCTTTAAGGCATAATATCAGCTTTCTGTTCCCTCTGAAGTACTTCCACTCAGGAAAAGACACCCTTGGACACACTTTATTTTTCTCCCCAGACAACAGAAGTTAGCAGACTTGGATCTAACTGTGATCCCTCTGAGGTTAATAGTGTTTTTATGACTGACTTCAGTAGTGGTGATGAAGGGTCCATACACAGAAATACTCTGGAAAGGCCAGTTACAAGAACACTCAGCTTCTGGGAACAGGGCAAGTAGAACAACTCTTGTGTAAGGACAGTTGATTATCTTCTTCTAAATAGAAAGTTACAATAATTAGCATAGATTTGCCAGGTCAAGGCAACATTTGTTTAATACATATACTTAGCTAGCATACTTGTGCAAATGTGATATAAATTGCACTACTACTGTCCCACAGGTAAGGTTCTTCAGTATAACCACAGGCTTCTGAAATATGGTTTTCAGGCTATTCTGCCTCTATTTACTATTCCACCATGATAGTTCTTTAAACATATTACATGGCTACGTTTCTTGAGATTTCCAATGCATGGATATTTTAATGGCATCTACAGTAGTGTTAAAATGAGTATACAGAAATAAAGTTTATGGATTTCAGATGCTTCTGAGTATAAAAGGAGACAGAAAAGTATGAAAGCGAGGAAGCGATGAGGTATAATGAACTGCAATTGCTTTGCTATAGAGCTGCTATAAGAGATGGTACACATATCATACCGACTGAAAAGAAACAAAATTTAAAGAGAGGTGTGTCAATTCCTATGATTTTAGACATTTCTGAATTTATTGTAGAGTCTGCACAGAAAAAAAAGAAGTCAACAGCATTGAAAAAAAGGAAAAATAAAGCAGGACAGAGAAGTGAATGAGTCAGTGTCAAGATCTTGTGATGCCGGTGATGCTTTCCACGTGCTCAGCAGGGGCTTCCTAAAAAGTAGAGTGTCTTCTAATGTTGAAAGAGAAACACATAAGAAAAGCACCAGTAGCTGTGACTGTATCTCCAGTACACTTCCCCTATGGAGCAAGGGTCAAAAATGCCTGAGTTACCATCTGACTTCCTGGGTTAACTTATGTATAGACTATTTTTTCATGTCAAATATTTCCAAGCCGGTGATAATGGTGATGCTCTTTTTTCTTCTTCTCTCCTGAAGGTATGCAGCAAGCTGAGTTTTGTATCCAAATACATCTGTTTCATTTGACATTGGCTTAATGGCTACTTTCCCAAATACAATCAGGCTTAGCCCCAGCAGTTATCTACTGTGACTCATACAACAGCCACATTCAGGGCCGTTTCTCTTTTTTTCCTTTCTCTGACAATATCTCCTCGGCCCTTTTTTTTCTTGTTTATTTCAACTCAAGAGGGACTGGAGGAGGGGGGGAAAGTGGAAGTTATGCTAATGAAATTCTGCGTTTCCCTTTTAAAGATACAAGCATAATCTTTGGCTAACATGCTTATTGCAAATTCAAGCATGCAGAATCGAAATTCAAAATTATTCTCATTCTTGAAAATAAAACAAATACGTAAAAATCTCTAGAACACAAATTTAAACCACAGCAGAGAATACCATGCCTTGAAATCAACAATCAAGTTTGAATATAAACCTGAAATTCCACCCCTGTGATGCTGGGTGGTGAATTTAGCTCAAGATTTCATCTGTAGACACATTTTATCAAACACCCCCACCCTGGGCCTGGGAGAATGAAGCGACAGGAGAGTGTCACCTCTCCAGGAACCAAAACGACCACAGGTTTCCTGGAGTTGGACGTCTGGTTCTGGTTTTATTTCTACAAGGCTGAAGTTAAACTATATATTCTTGCCCTCTGTCATTTGACAGAAGAATGTACTCAGCCCCCTAACATTTGCACTGCCTGTCTTGCTGCCATCGTTAAGAGAACCTACTGCCTTGTAAAAACGTAACTACATGTGTTTCATAAAAATCGATATAAAAATAACAACACTGGGGTACTTACATCTTTCTGGAACAATTGAATTTTTGAACAAGCATCTCTGGTTCTTCCTCCTGCAAATGGATCAAATTACATTTCACTAGGTAATAAAGCGTGGTACAATAGCCTGCCCAATCTGTTTTCATCTTGTCTTGTACAAAGTCTCAGATATACTCACTCATTATTCAACCTAATGGGCCTGCATTTGGCATATATTGAATGTTAGCGCTCTCCTTGGAAGTTGCAGAGGTTAACTGCTCCTAACAGCCTCTTTCCTTCCTCTCTGGGCATGTTTTCACCATGAATAATAGAAACAACAGAACTGAATGTCATAATACCCTAGACTGAAGGTGCTGGTACAAACCACAGGGATGAAGTAATGGTAGCAATTTTTTTGTCCTAATCCCTGATCATCCCGATGGAACCTGGCCCATACCAGGAAATATTTGGAAATGTATGAGGGAAGGAATCTGCTCCTGCTGAAATGCTTCCAGAATAGAAAGTCCATATTACGAAGCATTATTATAATTCTATTTTCACTTTATTGGTAGCGTTTGTGTGATTGTGGCTGTGCATGAGGAAAAAAAAAAAGCTGTCAGAAGCTGGAATTGGAGATGTTACACCCTTCATTCAACTGTAGTTCCAGTGGAGGAAAAAATCTTTCTAAATACAAATGACCTAATTTAATGTTAATTATGAGCTAAATCATGGTCATTGTCATCCTGTAAGTGGTCCTGCTGCAGCAAGTTAAAAACAAAATTACTTTTGAAAACAGAAGCTTGAAAAATATTTGTATATAATTCATAGGCTCTACAGCAAGGAATTACACAAATTGCTAATCGCACACAAAAATGACTAAACTGTTGATACAGTTGAAATGGGTTTTTTTTGCTCTCTTTTGTGCTATAATATTTTTCTAGTCCCTGCACTCGAAGTAGATACATCACATTTTGATGTAGTTAGGCTCCTTTCAAGGTGTGAAATTGGTAAGTACCAACACCAAAGGAAAGAAATTCTTTTAATACTGCGCTGTGCCACTTGAAGCAGCATTACCCTCTGGCTTCAAGCCAGCAAACTCCAGTGAGAACTATTTTATAGCACATGACTATAATAAAAGATATTTAAACATGGCCTAACAATGGATTAAACTAGTAAGACATAGTTTGTGTTAGATCCCAAGGATGAATATCAAAAATAGAGGCAATAGTTTTGAAACAACAGCCAGCAGTGAAAAGTTTACTTCTAATATAAACCAGACAGTCCCCAAAATAATTTGTGGTTTATTTAATTCTTACCGTTCATCTTGTGTTCTTTTGAGTAAGCTAAAGTAAGACACCCGCCTAAAAACACCAGCTGGTTTTGATTTTGATTCTGGATCTCTAGTGAGCTGAAAAACCGTAATCTGCATCTGCAAGGGTGGGGAGTCATTTCTGTAAACACGAAAAATAAGCATTTGCTGGGGGGGGAGGAAGGGCAGCTCACGAGAAGGTGCATTTTGGGAGAAGAGAGAAAACCCAGCCTCGCTAATATATTATAATAAATTACTGTTTTGTCATTATCTGGTTATATTTGCACAAACATCAATTGCATGTGAGCCCTGAAAAAGAATGTCTCATTGCCTTTAATATGCACTGCAGTGTGCACCCATACAAAATCATTACTGTAACAAAACCAGCTGCGTGTAATAGAAAGCAAATGATTTACAATGTTACTATAAGAAACTACTTTATTTCATATTATCATAAAAAGAACAGCACTGAAAATTTGCATGACAAACACAAGAATCCAGGAAATTCCAAATCTAATTCATATTTAGGTTTTAATAGGTATTAACTTACAGAGGTGAATTGTTAAGAACATTTCTTGGAGAATATTTCCAGAGAGTTTAGCTGCAATATTGGAACTCGTATTTAGTGAAACACGTACTAGTGCAGTAGTTGAAGAAAACTCATAAGCATTAAAGAATTTGGATTCATTGTTGGACCTAAAAGAATATATTTATTTTTATCACCATGCCATGCTCTGGCTGAAGATTCTGGTCTATCAAGGATCTCTCTGAAGTCATTGGGACTTCACTCCCCTGAACAAAACCCCGTGGATTAGATGCTGTACTTCCTAAAATTTCAGTTCTTTTATCAACCTGCACAGTTTGGGGTTGTTGTTTTTTTTTTTTTCAAGCAGTGTGAAATTACCATAAATAAACATAAGCAGTTTCAAACTCATGATCTGCCCAGTCGTATGGAGCAGTTGGGTTACTCAAGTGGTTTCACATATGACAAAGTATCAGCTCCCAACTCGATCTCACACAAGCCATGAAAGAAGTTTCTGCTGTATGGTGGAAGGTAAGCCCATTTTATGTTACTATCAAAGGAGATAACAGCTGTTACCAAAAAGGTGGCAGGCACGTAAAACAAAAACTAAAGTCTTGAACAAATGAAGCTTTATAAGACCCAGGCAGGACTCAAACAAATGTTCAATGAAAGTCACTTTTATGACTTTACTTTGGTTTATCGCAAGGCAGTAATAAATGTGTCTCATTAAAAGCCAGTAAAAGAACACCACCTACACCACCAATTGCTGTAACTGCAGATATAGCAGATCTGGAATAGTTACCTAAAGACCCTCATTTCCTAGCATTTAATGCTTCCCTGTCCATATAAACTAGCCTTCTATGGATTTAAAGACTGTTGGATGCTAAAAGCAGCAGCTGTTGCTGGGAAAACGACACTTTCAAAGCCCTGCTTCTTTCTCAAGGTGAAGCTAGAGGGACTTTGAATGAACATGGAGCTCTCCTTGGATAAAAAAAAAAAAAATTGCCAGAGGAGTCCATGCCAACAGAAAGACAAGCAATTCCCCCCATTCTGGCTAGAGTGTAAGTGTTTTGCCTCAGCTTTATTGCTCAGCAGGTCAAATTCATTCCTGGTGAAATGGCAGTTCCCATGGTGAAGCCGCAAGAAAATTCTGAAACCTTCTGGCACCTGTCAAGAAATGGGGCTGTGAAAGTGGGGGGAGGAACTGGCATGTAGGAGCTGGGATTAAGGGTGGGAGCCACCACATAAAAGGTTATTCTTGTTCTAGTTGTTAGAACTTTTTTATTGCGTAGAATTTACATACATGCTTATTAAGTGGTTTAAAAAAGAAGCCTGACAGATATTAAACAGCATGCCACACTCTTTATGCTGCTGCCATACAGATGTGTCCAAAGCATAAACAGACTTACAGTCAGCACTTGGTTGCTCTATGGGAGAGTATCTCTGTAGTAAATTTCTCCAAACTTTTCAGGACAATTAACTTGAGAATTGGAAACTTTTTTTTTTTTTTTTCTCCCTCAGATTTGATCCTTTGCTTGATCTCTCACTGCTTTCCAATTATGCAGGGAAAATATATAGCAAGTGTTTTAATGCTCTAGATTGAATTTCCTAAACCTAAGCTAGCAGCAGAATGACTGGGCCAGGGATTCTGGCACAAGAAGTACAGCTGTGTGTGAGCTGGTGGGAAAACTACTGGAATATCATGACTAGTCTTGGTGTTCACACTTCAAAGAAGCCGTGGAAAATTGAAAATAGATCAGAAAAGAATGATTTCAAGATCTGGAATATCTGCCTTGTAGGGATAGATGTATGCAGCCTAATCTGTTTACTTTATCAAAAGAAAGGTTAAGAGACTTGATTGTGATATATTAATACCTCCACATGGAGAAGATTTGTAAAGGCTGTGTAACTCAGCATATAAAAATGGATCAAGACCTAGAAGCTGGAAATGTCAAATTCTGATTATGGATAAAGCAGACAGGATTAGCAGTGAGGTTAATTAGTCATCAGGAAAATTTCTACAAATGGATCATGGGTTCTTCAGCCCAGAAGCTTTTCAGTCAAGACTGGATGGCTCTAACATAAGGAGACCTGTGAACTGGGCTGGGTGCAGGAGTCCCAGGTGAGGCATTCTGGCCAAGGCAAATTTGTATATCATTATGATGTCTATGACCAAGGATGTGCTGGGGCAGATCAGTCTTACTTAGATGAACTAGTTGGCAAAATCAACATTGGTATATGAACCACATTAAAACCTACATCCTGAATGCTCTCCTCTTCGTAGGATCGCTGATGATCTTTCTGGGAAGCTCCCTCTTTCCTTCCCGACAGCCTCCATGACTCGAACTTTTCTGGAAAAAATATAAAAATGGAGGCATTTAATTGTCTTTGTCCAATCCCACTGGTACCATGCACAACCCAGCTGCTCTAGTCTTTCTTCTACCTCTCTACCTCTTCTCTCTCACCAACTCCTAAATCTCGGGCTTGCCACTGGATAGAAAAGTTTGGCAAAATGTCTTCTTTGGAAACATATGCTCGATGCTTAAATGCTGAAGTAAATTTCTGAGACTTAAGCAATTTCAGGGATGGGCCTGAAAAGTGGTGTCTTGGCTGGGATGATGTTTAAGTTAGTACTTAGGACTGCCTGGGAGTTTTGCTGAGTAAAGGTTATTTGCACAGTAATGTTATTTTTGTGCTCCTTTAGTCAGCACTCCCCAGGCTTCACCATGCCGCTCAAACCCAGAAATGGTGCAATTATTAATGCCTTACCTAAAAGTTTCTGTGATGTCTTGCTATTGTCACTAGGGGTGGAAGGATCCAGGTAGTGGCAGGACACTGTACGAAAGATAAGATCCAGAGACAAATTAATCAGCTAAAGCCTCCGATTGGCAAAATGGAGCATTTAATTATATAGCCTTTTTTATCACTGTAAATGAAGGTGGACATGCTGCTGCAGCAGTATGGGGGAGAGAAAAAATGAGACTGAGCAGCAGCAAAGAAACAAAGGAGAAGCTGAAGGAAAACAAAATATGGAGATGATTTAGAATCACTTATGAGACCTGTGCCTGCTAATGCATTTTTTCAAATGATTATGACTTACATAAAATACATTCAGACATCTTCTTCTCATTAGAAATACTGAGTTGAAAAAGATATAACCAGTATCCCAGTGTGTTCCTCTTACATGAGATTTTGAACCACAGCTACGAAGTTGCATCCAGCGCTGGTATGCCTTAACATCATATGTTGCTGGATGATGAGCCATCTGTGTTCTTACATGGACAATCATATTTACTCCAGCATCAGTGAGAGTGTTTCTAGAGAACAATTGCTGATGTGTTAGCATGGTTTCTATTTCTCTGTTGAGACTGGTATGCTCCATCTTTGATTTCATATTTTTCTAGCAGACAGGAGTTTCCAAAGAGCTGCTATAGAGAGTTTTTACTGTTATTCACTGTTTTTTCACAGTTTGATAGACAATGCCGCCAAACATCAACGGAAAAAGAGGGAGCATCATCGGCTTAAGCCACAAAGACACAGTGAAAACCAAAAGGCAATGACCAAAGTAAAAAAACAAATCACTTTTGTTAACACTAGGTCCATTCAAAGTGGTGGTCGACGAAACTCAGAGGGTGACGTCTATATCCTGCATATATATAACAATATATAATGATACTGTTAATATTAACTTTTTTACTGGGGCTCAACCAGAGATAGCGCCGGTAGCAAACTTCCACAGCAATCCCTCTTTTCGAAGCAAAGACAAAGGATTATGAAGAGCAAAGCCATATATCCAACAAGAGATTGTAACACCAGGGAGCTGCTTTCATTTTTATTTACTCTGACTCCGAAAAGAACGAAGTCTGACTGCATCGCTTCACTTTCATGTGCAGCTGCATTTTTGGAGCACAATTCCAAAGCGAGAGTGGACAAGCTGACAGAGGAGACTCAGTAGATTTCTAGTGCAGGGGGAAGGGCTTCAGAGCTGCAAATAATAATCAGAGGCAAAACTCTGCTCTCCGTCACACTGGAGAAAATTCAAAGTAATTACCCCACTGACTACAGTGGAGTGATCCTAGATTTATATTACTGTAAATGACAGCAAAAATTGGACCCAATATAGAAATAATTTATCTAAGGCCCTAAGTATAGTTGCACAATTCAATCTGTAAATAATGCCACTAATGCACATATGGCTAATTTACATCCAGACTATGAGAACATATCCAGTGCTGATTTCCAGGATGCTTGAAGCACGAGGCGGTGCCAAAATAAATTTGCAGTATTCCCATAGCCCTCACAATCCTTCCAACTTTTGGTGTTGGGAAGAAGATGCACTACAGATATTTTGGAGAAGTGAAATTTTATCTGTTATATGACTAGGTATTGGATAATTCTTTAAAAAAAAAAGGCATAGAAGGCTTTCAAGCAGCACTCCACGTCTCCTTGCATGAGCTCTGCAAGCTCTCTCCTCTAAATAAGTTGTTTTTATCCAATTTGCCTCTTACTGGGAGCAGAATTTTAGGAGCAGCTTGAGTTTTCTAAGAATAAACCATGCTTCAAAGAAAGGACGGTTGTAAGTAACATTGGAGAAGAGTGCTTGGAGTACATACATTTAATGCACATAAAACTTAACTACAGCAATTTAATTTAGATTCCTTCTCTAATCACATATTTATATTAAGACCTTGCTGAAGCCAAATTGAAACTTATATTGCTAGGAGGCAAAGATGATATAAAATCTGAATTATTCATCAACTCAGCAAGAGAAAAAAATTCTCCCAAAATACCAAATATTGTTCTGGGCTTTATACCAGCTCTGTAACGTGGGGCGAAGAGTTAGAAAACCCATGTCTTGGTTTACAAGAACTTGAAAGGAGACATGTTAAATCTAAATTGAATAAATACATCTACCCTCCTTCCTTCCTTCATAAAATATTTTATGTTATGTTATTTTATTTTACTTTTTTTTTTTTTGTATCATCAGGGAAGAAGGGTTCTCCTGTTACCAACACACAGGAGGTGTTGAGACCCTGCAGTTAACTGCAGATTAATCACGGCTGACTCAGTGCTGCAGGTGGATTCCATTAGACCCTTCAACAACAGAAGAGACATAGGGTAGTCCTCTGGTAGGAGAAAATCCCTGGGAAGAAATTTTGGGGGCAGCTAAGCCTGGGAAAAAGTCTTGGGAATGAGCAGGAAGTTTAAATGTGTTGTTTCAGTTAAGAAGAGCTAACTTCAAGGAAGACTTTTCACTTTTTTCAAGGAGGACACTCTGCTTTAAGGTGGGTAGATACTTTATCACCTTGCTGTAACTGCTTACTCAGCACACAAACCAATGATGGAATCATAACAATTTAATCTTCTTGCAAGTAATTCCCTTTTGTCTGCCCTCGTATGGCAGCCAACCAATGCAGAATGTGTAGGTCCCATAAAGCATTTTGAAGTACTAGGGAGGAAAAAGAAGTAGAGAAGTTCAGAACTTCCATTATTAGAACTTTTTTTAGGACATAATTTTCTGGTATTTGCTGAGATTCTCCTTAAGAGAGTTGATAACTTTGGATAATTTCTGAGGTAATGGTCTCTGAGATCCTTAGAGACCTATAAAGAGAGAATAAATGCATGAGTTATTTAAACCCAGGAAAAGTACCTCTGAAGAAACTTCATACTCAGACAATGATAAAAATCTCTTTCTTTTTTTTTTTCCCTGCTAGTTCATTAGGAAACCAGAAAGAAGGTCATAATTTTCAAGTCGTTTGTTTCTATTGCTAATATTTCTTAGGTTCTGTCACGCAGAAAAAAAGATTATTCTCTGCAGAGATGGCAAAATTATCCTTGACTCTCCTTATATTATTCATGTCTATTTCCAATGCTTAAAAGTTGTTTGTGACCTTCAAGCAGGGGACATGTGCTGAAAACAAGAAAATCATGTGCATATTTAAGTCTGAAAATAGACGTCATAGAGCCAATCTCCATTTCCAATGTAACTCTTTACTTTGAGCCCCAGTTTGTGTTTCTATGATTTTTTTGAAAGGGAACTTCTCCAAGTGTCAGCTTTAGGAGAGCCAAGGGCAAATCTGAATTTAGCCCTTAGCTAATTTCAGCTAAACTCTTTCAGAAGAGTTGCGTGTGACTGGTCCCTTGCCCCGAGGAGGTATTGCTGAAGACAGTCTGGATCCTACCAGGTCCAGGGCAGGGTTGTGGCCTCTCCGTGTGCCTGAGGGATCCCACAGCTATTTTAGGTTAGAAGAGCTCGAGGAGTCTGCGTGATGGGGATGCTTTGACAGAAGAGCAAAATGACTCGCCTGCTTGCGATTTGTGCAAAAGCTGCCGAGAGGTAGGTGTCTTCATGTCTTAAAAAGACTGAGTTGAAATCTAACCCAGACACCTGACTAACATCTTGAGACGCAGGCAGTTTGGGTCAAATCTGGATGACTGGCAAGTTTAATTATAGCAGTTGATGACTGTTTTACAGCATTTAAGCCCCTTTGAACTTCACAATGGATGACAGTGTTGAAAGGCTGTGAAACAAGTTCAGCTAAAAATGAACAAAAAAGATGATGTTCCAACGCTTTTAGTGGTACCTGGTGCTTATTTGAAGTCTGATATTGCACAAAATTCTACTGTAACTGTTACTCCAGGTTTCTGGGTTGAAAAGTACCAGACTTCTATCAAAACAATGGACAATTCCATGGGCGTTTGCCTGATTTCAAGCCCTCATTCACCTTTTTAGAGACACATTTCCTTTGCTATTTGTTCTATGATCCTGTTTATTGCCTTAATGCAAGAAATCCAGGAAAGGATGAGGCAGAGAAGAGATAAATTGCATCCTAAACAGAGGGGAGGATAAATCCATACCTGGTTAGAGAGAACAATGGCACAGAAGTGATGACTGTGGCTGTACCCAAGAGGTGTGTGTAGGGCTATAGACAGCTATCTGAGAAGATTTAGCCCATGTTGAGGCCAAAGACAGCCAGAGGATGAGCCTGTACTTCTAAGGAGATGTTCCATAAGAATGAATGTGAAAGGTAAAAGAGAGCAGGCAGAGCAGGATGCATCCTGACACAACCAGCCTCAGAAAACCATGAATGCTTGGGGAAGCAAAATTTAGGTTCAGGACGGAAATGTGATGAATATTCAACTAGCTTTTAATGTTTACATCAAAATACTGCCACTTAATGAATTATTCTCAAACCAAGACAGCAGACAAAAACAGTAGCTTGAGAAAAACTTCCCAATCCACAGTGGTGGGTTTGAGCCCAGCTATTTGATTTCTGCAATCAATTAATCCTAGTGAATTCCTGAAGAAGTCACTAATTGAAAAAATAACAACAGCTAAGATAAAGTTAACAGACAACAATGTTCAGTCTCAAAATTTGCATAGTCTCTCCAGAAAATGTGCAATCTGGACAGTTGCAACTGCTACTGAAAGTCAGAGTCAGCAAGGCAGAAAGAAGAGGCTCGTTACATGTCTAGACAAAACCAGCCTGTGCCGCACAACTACACAACGTTCAAAAGAGACACACTGCCCGAGATCTGCCAACAAAGAATTATTCAGCAAGTAATTTCAAAGAAGAGATAGCATTTTCATAAAAAAAAAAAAGCAAACCAAGATGCTTCCTACTTTATAAACAGAAATCAGGGAGAAATTAAATCATCAAATTATCTGCTACGCTTTCCCACTGTAAGACAACTGCTCTGATCCTCTTTAGCAAGTACGCAACTGGAAATGAGAAGCAGAAGATGGAACTGTCTCAGCAGAACAGGCAAAAATATTTTCTTGCAATTTCTTTTGCAAGGGCAGCCAGAATACCAAGGCTGATGTTTAATCAGATGTACTGTTGGCTCCGGAGGGAGAATTGAAAGGGTATTTCAAATTACTGAAATTGAAAAAAATCCACCATAATTCTTGGAATTCCCTCTTTAAAAAACAATGTAGATCTTCTGGCCCAGAAATGCCCTGAAGAACATGTAATAGAGATAAACGGCACACATGAGGATTAAGGTTCCGTACTAAATACACCATAGATATCCACTGTTGTTCTGTGATAAACAACCATTTTTCAAACTCACTCTCATCACTGTATCATGTTTTCTGTCCAAGTTCGCTCGCTCTGAGGATGTTCTATCACGAATTTTCCAGTCCTTGGTTTTGTTTCTTTTAGAGGATTTTGAGCTCCAAATGTTATGTTTGGAGCTTGCACTCAAAAGCAGCTCCCTCGAGTGCTATACTGTGGTAAAAAGGATTTCTCCCTAAGGATGGTAGCTCCTGCATCGTTCTCTGTGTTGTCCCTTTTCCCTGTCCTCCCACCACCTGTGTGGGGTTGGAGAAAGACAGTTGAGAAAGGTGAGCCCAGAATTCTTGCTGCTGAAGGCACCAAAGTGGGAATATCTGGCCTCAGAAAACTGCTTCTACATTTTTGATTTGCACTCTCTGTACCATGCTCTTGGTGGCTGCTCCAATGCCCCCTCTCCTTGTAGATAATGTCCCTCTCTTCTCTCACTTTGTTAGTCCACTTAGCCATTCCTTCCTAAATAAACCACTCAAAATAAATAAACTTCTGAGATTAAGGAGCATTTTGATGACATGAGCTAGCTAGAAGAAGGAATATGGTGACCTTGATATATAAAAAGCCGTAAGTCCTTTTCACAGAGAAAGCATGAATTACAGATCTTGCCAAAACCCAATCTAAGAAAAATTCCGCCCTTTACCCAGGAGACATTTGAGTTTTAATTATCCTTCTCAGAGTCCCTAGACTTTCCTTCTCTTGTATCTATTTTTGTCTGCTTATTCTAATCAGCGAAGAGCCAGTGAAAACAGAATTTGTCCATCACTTCTGTCAGCTTCACAGTATCCTTCCCCACGTGAACTGTTGTTTGGTTAGTGCCCGCTTCGAATTCAGGCAGAAAAAATGGTTTCTCGAAGATTAGTCACCCTCATTAGCATTCCCACTGTAATGCTAAGGCAAAGTATTTAATATTAATGACCACTCATATTCCTGCACTGTTTGTCCTGCATCCACAGTGCTTGGTCTCAACGTGGGGAGGAAAAGCAAAAAGCAAAATGGTGCGGTCTCATAACCAAAATGGTGCATAGAAAACAAAATGGATTTTCTAATGTAATATTCACTAAATCATGGGAAGTGATAGTAAGCGGGAATCTGAGTCGTTTCTGGATTAATGCTCTAACACAGTGCCAGGGGACACTGTGCTGCTGGAGATATCATTATTTCTGGGAGATGTTTTGTCATTTATATCGCACGTTACATTCAAGAAGATGACAATGTCCCTGTTCCAAAGAGAACGAAATCAAAAGGCTGGATTGCAACTTGACCCTAGAGGGGTATAAGAGGGAACAAAATATATCGGGTGCACCTTTGAGCAGCATTCACTGCAAGCTCAGGGGTGGGGGAGTTGAGAGGACATCTCCCCAACGCCTGCTCCACCAGCCCAGCAGAGAGGAGACGTGAGAAAGGCTCCACTCTCCTCTTCTCACATGCCAGATTGCGCATAAGGAGTAGAAGACTAATAATCTGCTTATTTTCGAAAGCAGGAAAGGCAGATTGGGTATTTAATTGATTTATTGTATGCGGAGGTACAAAAGTTCTTCCACCTCCCCCGGTTCAGCTGCATGCACATGTATTCCAGTCAGACCCCATTTAGAAAGAGACAATAATAAGAAATGATAGAATGCCAATAAAAGACAAGGAAAAAGCACAAATCCTGCCTGTTATAAGAACCCATAAAACTTTTCCTAAGACTCAGCATGCAAGACATAATGTTTGACTTAGATTTCTGATTAAATAAATACATTCTGCCTACCTAAAATTCATTTCTTGTTTTGATTTGACGAGTGCATTATGCTTGGTTTCGATTTAGTGCAATGAAGAATACTCTATTAAAACAGAATTTGTATGTGGTAAAATTCATTTAAGAAATAATGTGATGTACATATGTCTCCCTGGTTTCCAACAAGAACCCCGTGGCTTTCCTCCACGGCCTAAGTCTCCTGCAGAACACTGTCACCATAATCCTGCCTGGTTCTTCCAGCCTGAAATACAGCTACTCTTTCCCCGAGCACAGCAGTTTGCCCCGGCAGCTTTGTTGACAACTCACTGCGAAATATTTGGGAAAGAAACCTGAGGATGTGGGACACTGGCAGCTGGAGAGGAGGGGAAGCGATTTTTGGGTGAAGGGAATGGCAATTTATCCCAAAGAATGATGTACGGCCTTAATTTGACCGTTAGTGTCACACAAATAAAAACCAAGGCAGATAATCGTAGCATTTATAACTCTTTAAGAAATTACTACCCTAGATAATCCATTTACACGCTTTTGCCTAAATATGATCCCAAGATACGTTCTAAATTTTTCATTTCCAACTGGACTATCTGTTTTCCAACATCAACAAAAATCAGATACAATGTGGAAGAGGAAAGAAGTGCCAGCGCTGTGTTAAATACCATAGCCTGCAGACAAATATTGTTCCCAGTCAAAACTTAGGGGTCATTTAAGTATTTGAATCATGTACAGAGACTACGTGAGCCAGGACACAGACTAATGATTTTGTGTAGACCAGTGATCCCCAACCTTTTCTGACCCTGGACAATAACTCGCTTAGCATTAAGCATTGTGGGCAGCATCATACTTTACTCTCCCTAATGGCCTTCAGCTTTAACTTTTTAATTTCCTGTAGGTCTCAGCGGTATGAGGAGGTCTCCCAAGCTTTTTGTTGCTCACTAACCCATGAGCCGTGGACTGGGGACTCATGAGTGAGGGGTGGTGGATGAAGTATTATCTGACTTGGCTGCTGATTTCCCTGCTTGTTATGTTTTTGGGGGATGGGATATGGAGGCTCGCAACCTTAATTGAGTGTGGGCTTTTTTTTTTTTCTTTTTTTTTGTAGAAACTAGGTTAATAGCTGTCCCTTCCAGCCCTGAGGACTCTGTGGTTCTGTGACTCTGCTTACAGGTGCGTGTGTACAGGCACACATACAGACGTAGCCTCCAGGTGTGCCATCAACGGCCCGACGCACCCTCGAAACACCCGACAATTATTCCTGCTTTCTCGTTTAAACCCTAGAGAGTCGGCAGGGCGGGCAGATGGGGTGGAAAATAAAAGGGTTTCCAAAGTGGCTTCCAGCGGGACGGGCCGACTGAGGGCTCCCTCCAGAGCAGCACAAGCCCGCGGCCGCCCCCGAGCCCCTCATATATAATAGTAAATAATAATGACAACAATCGCTATCTATAGAGGTTCCCTTCTCCCCACAGCTCCCGCAGGGATCTCGGTCCCCTCTAGAAATAACAACAGCCATGTATTAATAAGGAGACGGGGATCTTAGGCGGGAGGGGACCCCGAGGACCCCGCTCTCCCGTGGGGGACCTCAGCCTGACTGGGCTGGTGGCGGGGTCCCCCTCAGCGCTGGCGGCCATGGCGGGGAAGGGGAAGGAGGGGACGGGAGAGGGCGGCGGCGGGGAGGGGGCGAACCCTGCCCTCTGCCCTCTGACCGCCGCGGAGGCCGCCGCCGCCGCTGGCAGCATGGGGAAGGCGGAAGCGGCGGAGCCGGCCCGTCAGGCCGGGCGGCGGCGGCGGTGGAGGCGGGGGGGGGGGG